AATATTGGGCCGTTTGGCGTGACCTAAACTCCCAAATTTTCAAAATAACGAGGTTACAGAGGACAACAAAAGGGTATTTATGAGTTCTTAATACCTAATTAAATAGACAATGTTTGTCCCCCTCCAGATTGAAAACGCCCCATTTCCAAGAGTTTTCATAAATAAAATAGGTTACGATGAGATGAAACTATTTACAAAATTTCAGGCTGATGTTAATAATTCGATAAAAAGGGGTCTGTACCACGGACTAATTGTAATAAGAATAATTATGATTGTATAATGAAATAAATTGGCAGTAATGCACGAAATACATTTTTAATTAAATTAAAAAAATTCCATACTGAGGCTTCGTTCTGTTTATTTCATATTGATAAAAAAATAATACAATCTGAACTACAGAATACATTTAAATTAAAGTTATGTAATTTGAGCTACGAGTAGATTAAATGAACAGTCGTATAATTTGTAAAATGGGGATATTAGGTACACCACTATTTATCTATAAAAAAAAATGTTCTCTTAAATTCATTACAAATAATTCATCCCTATTAGTGTGACCAAGCACATATTGACTCAAATCCCAAACTAACTAACGCAAATCCTGAATTAAACTCATGTCCATTTGTTATGGTTAAAAATGCTAATTGAAACCTTCATTTCCTCCTTTTCATCTCAAATAAAATTATCCATAATAACACTACTATCCTGTATATTACGGATTTCGCCCACATCGAATACTTATCCTTTATTAAATGGTCAGAACCCACACAAACCCACTAGTTTCTAGCCTTGCTTACCAATCGAAATTTCTGGAGTAACAGGCTGACTATAGATTTATTCATAAATATTTATGATAATATTTTTAAAATATACTTTCCATTCTTTTTATTAACAAATATTAGAATATGAGGTATTTTAGGCCAATTCACAGCATTAAACTATTTAGTTTTTTAATTAAATTGTTAAAGAGCCAGATGTAAGGTCAACTCAAGCCTCAGGATCACCGATTATATTTCAGATTTAGGCAAAATTCACGGAAGTGAAAAATAAACACCAAATACGCCTCACAATGTTTTCTAGCAGTAAATGGGTTATTAACAGAGCAGAAAATTGCCAAGATTCATGAGAACAATTCTTGAAAAAGATGTTATAAAAATAACTGATAATATAGTTTATTTTGGCTTTGCAGACCATGTACATCCATCCCGCCAAATCTAGACTTTTGCACCTTAATATTTCATTTAACATAATAGATTAAAATATTTGTAAAGATAAATTTTTTGGGCTTATTTTAAAATGCTGATGGGAAAGGTAATATTCAAAATACTCAATCATATGATTAAAAAAAATTATCTAAATTATTAAGAAGTATAGAATTGACCCAAAAAAAAAGTCATGGAAAAAAAAAAAAAAAACGGAAATAGAAAAATAAATACAGAATCTTTAAAGAGCCAGAAATTATAATGTATACCACATCTAGTGGACTTTATTATGTATCTTTATAAATAATGGTCCAATTTCGATGTGTGTATTTTTTCTTGTAGGAAATTTAGTAATTTTTCAATTAATCCTGGGTACAATCAAGAAAATAAATCAGATTTGAGTTATTCGAAATAAAGTTTCTTTTCCTTCATAACTATGTTTTTCTGAAATTTTGAGAGGCTGTGGCTATTTTTGCCACTTGAAGAAAATCTTCAAAGTGAGAACTCAATCATTGGATTTGATGACTAATTGACGAAGATATGACGTTGCGAAAAAAAAAAGCTTTTAGAAATAATTTATAAAGATTTAAGCATTCATTTAGTATCCCTATGTCTAGCATATTTTTGGAAATTATCAGTTTGAGGAATGCAAGATGTTGGCTAAGACGATGGTATGTGGATCGAAGGGTGTGAAAACCGGTACCAGCAACCGATGCAAGCTATTGGGCATTCCTAGATAAAGGGTAGGACATGTTTTAAGAGATATTGTCCGGGGGTCCTTAATGGCTTCGTGCCTTGCCCCCTGATAGGGGTGCCACGCTCTTGATGGCACTGAAATGTCCGAGCAGGAAGAAGTGCCAATTTACAACAGTCGAATTTGTGATACGTGCAGTTATAAAAGATGTTTTTTTTTTGTTTTGTTTTTATTCCATTTGAGTTCTACCAATGGGTAGTTTCTCTTCATGTTGTACATGCCATGTTACAAATTTCTCATTTACTTATTGTATTCTCTATGTAATACAGTTGTAAATTCCATTGAAATAAAAAAAAAAAAAAAAAAGTTTTTATTCCAAGACATGGAGTAGCATCTGTTATACATTTTGAGAAATTAAATTAATTTTAAATTGTAAAAAAAAAACCTTGTTTAATGATGTTTCGGTGCAAAATATTGTGCTCATCCTCCATGGGCTCCTAACAAATAATATTTTTATACTTCTTCCGATTAACTCCTTCTCATATTATATCAACGGTCAACCATCTCTACATAAATATTTTTATACATATAGTTTCCTTGTTCTTTTTATGTGTTTATTATTGGATACATGAAGTCAAATTATTTCTTACGTTTATAGACTAAAAGTGGCAGATTTTAATTTGTGTTCAGATAAACTTTTTTTTTGTTTATTTAATGAAATTTACAATACAACTAGTAAATGTGCTTAAATTATAAATGATCACACGAACAGGCTTAGAGAGATACTATCCAGCTGTAGCACTCCTTAAATAATTCTAGGCAAGAAGATCACAAGGCCATCTCCTTTTCAGACGCCTAGAAGGATTAATTAAGGATTAAAGGACGCCTAGGAGCATTAAAGATTTCGCGGAGGATTTTGGAATGTAAGGATTGGATACGATAATAATTCGATGGTTTGGTGGAACCCCAAAGCTCAACTCCGTATGTCCATGTAGGTCTTATTATAGTTATGTAGATAAGTCTTGTGTAATTAATTGATATTTTAGAGAGTTTGTCTAGTAAGTGTTGGAGCAGTCGGAAACGTCGCAGATAATCTTAAAAATTAAAATGAAACTTAATAAATGTTTTCAATATATTTTGATGACTTTCGTGATGTATACTTTTAAATAATCCTGTATTATATCGTCTTCAATATACATACAGTTGATGATTGTACCCAACAGAAATTTCCCAATTATAATTAAATTAGGTAGAGGCTTTGGACTTGAAGCGTTACTGTTTTTTTTTTCTGGGTTTTTTTCCTATACTCACATTAAAAAGAATAGAAAGTTCTCTACTTTTTATTTGTTTAAAACATTAACGATTAATTCTCTCCAAAAAAAGTGTATATTGAGTAAGTTTTGAGAAAATTATGAAGTAAATGAACATATTGTGTAAGAGTGGAATAAAGACTTTTTTTGGTGATAAATAATGGGATATAGCAGTATTAGTAAATTAATATATAAATTGATGCTTGTAAAATATTTTCATTTATAACTTGAAGTAGTTATTTTAAGCTGGTTGAATTGTTTCTAAATTGAATTGTCCATGAGAATGAGTTAAGAGCCTGGAACTTTGAAAAGAGCCTACTTCTAACAGAAAATATTTTAAAATAAAAGAGGTTAAATAAAACATACAAAGAGCTTTTGTATTTAGTTATGAAAATTGGAGGTACTTTCTATTATTTCGGAATATTATATTACCTAAGTTTATTTTCGAGAGTACAATTTAATTCTAAAACTTAATAATAAACAGCAAAACAAATGTAAATTTAATTGTTGCTGGCTTTGATGTTATAACTTACAATTAGTTTTAGAAGTTTTCCTTTTTAATAATGTCATCCTTTTTCAGTACATTATGTGATACGGAATTAAACTTTGATAAAAGAGTTCTGCGAATAATAAACTTCGAATAAACTTTGCTGGAGTTTAAAAGAACAAAATAAGAAAATTATTGTTGATGTAAGAGAGGGATGAATTGCTACTAATCTACAATTGGATATATAGGTGATATACATACCTATATATCCATTCATCATTAATATTTATTTTATCACAGTTTTTTCGATGTTAGAGAACTGTTGGAAATTGAATGATGTTAAATAAACAGATTTAAATGAAATTCGGTATGTGGGTAAAAATTGTTAAACTACGCGTTTTGCTTGATCCAGAATTTATGAGTTTTTGAAGCAAGACTATCTATCCGATGAAATCCTTATTTAAAAAAAAATTTTTGTTCACATTTCTTTTACACAGACCTAAAATGTGGTTATATTTCTAATAATAATTTTAAGATGTGCAAGGAAACTAAAAACTTTCTAATGATTCAAAGAACGAATTCGGATATCAAAAATATGAGATCATCAAAATGAAATTTCACTAACATGCGACATTCAACGTACCCGTAATAGACATGTTAACAGCAATTAACAGTTTTTCATTCATGACAAGTAATAAGCTGTATACGCTCAACAGAGAGTGCAAATATAAGTATATTTGCAGTTTGAACTTTTAGAGAGGGGGGGGGGGTTAATGGCTGAACCTCCAGCGATTTGCCACAATAGCTGATTGGCGATTGATTTTTAATGATAACTGTATATTTGTTTTATTAGTTTTAAGGATTTCCCATTATATTGATTGGTAAGGTGCAACCCAATATAATTGCGCAATATCCTTAATGAAAAAAAGGTGATTCTCTCTCTAGGCTGAGTGTTCTTGTTTCAGGGGAGTTTTCTTATTATTTATCTGCAATTTGCCATTTATCTGTATAAAACAATTTTGGGTTTTTAATATTTAAAAAAAAACCTGTTGATTCTAAAACTGCGTGTTGCAGTAGTTCGTTATATTCTGTCTGATATAATTACATTTTTTTTTTGTATTCATTAGAAAAGATAAGGATGGGTTTTAATGGTAAATATATTATAAGTTCTCTCGAAGCCCTTGTATCAAATTCCGATACTCAAAAGTTACACTATATTATGAATAATATAGCATAATTTATGGTAAATAATTACATGATAATTTCAATATTTAATCAAAGTTGTTTCCAATAAGAAAAGTACATACGGCATAACAAGGTGCTTCAGGAAAAGTTAATATAGTTTTTTGAAATATGGCAGCCTTCCACTTCTCTCTTTATGTTCTGTATTAATCCAGTTTCAAAAAACAGCGACATTAACTTATTTTTCATGAATTATTAACTAATTGTCTGTAAAAAAATCGATAAAAGATTAAATTTTTGACTTATGTATTGAGTTATGTATATCACACCTGGGAGAAATAATTATACAGAAAGAAGAAAGAAGAGGAAATTTTATTCTGGGACACTTAGTCCCGTAACAATAATAATTAATAACGAACCATTAAGTTAACATTTGTCCGGAGGAGTGGCCGAATGGACTAAAGCGTGTGCACAGCACCGCAAGTTGCCCGGCAAACGTATATATGAAGTTTTGAGAGATTAAAAAAAGTACAAGTTCGCGTCCCGTTGCCGGAGGGGATTTTAAATTTCCCGTTCCCCCCTCTCGGCCCGGGAAAATCTCCTATAGCCTAAAAGGCAAGGTAGGGAATAACAAAAAAAAAAAGTTACATTTTTTCGACATAATTTAATCATGAATTAATTAAATTACATAGTTATTGAACCTTAAAACCAAAATTGAACAGAGATACAAGTTAAAATTTGAATTATATGAAGATATATACGAGTGTGTTCACGTATAGACAACGTAGATTATAGGTAGGTATCTGTATGACATTATACAAAATTCACTAATTGGATTTAGCAAGTTTGCCTCAGTAGCAATGTAATATCTATTCGAAATTGGTTTAGGCCTATCAGATTAAACAACACTTCCACTTGGGGTTCCAGTTATGATAATTCCAATGGCAATGTTTATAAATATAAATAAATTCATATATTGGTTATCGAGGCGCCACTTGAAACGTTCCATATTAGGTTAAGGTGACAATTTGCATAGCCATATTGGGAAATGGCAAAGTAAAAGCTTGAAACATACTTGATATTTTCGCCAGCTCTAAAATATATTTTTGACCTTAGAGGAACGTTATATAACGAGTCATGGTCAAAGATCAGCTCCTGCCCGATCCGGTCGTCCTCCACAGCCGAACATCCTTGTCTTCGACGTATCCCAAGTATGTCCGCACTATTGGATTTGCATAAGAACCTTTTACCGATTTGCATAAACAATATAATTTCTGACCATATTTAGAACTAGGAGCTGTAATTATTTACGTGTTAGTTTCGTTTTCGTTTTCTCTAATCGGATCTGACATATTTCCGAGGATATGTAAATGGCGGCTGAGGTCATTGTGTCCTTAGAGGAGCATGTTTATTTTTGAATTTATAAATATTTCCTCCTTCTTCTTTTTATTTTTTTCTCAACTTTCAGAAAATATTTTTTATATATTATTTCTCCAAATTTATTCAGATATCTTTTAATTAAATAATTTTGTTTCGTCAACACAACGTGTAATGTATATAAGTCCGATGTACAAACATCAGATTTTATACACATATGGAAATAAGTAAAAAAAAAAATATTCTAAATAAATATCACACAGCCTTCTATTACCATCGAAAATTAAGTAGGAATAGGCATTTCTACTCAGAAATAGACAGTAATCTATTGCATTTCATGATGATACATCTATCAGGAATAACACAGAATAGTTACTCGGCCGGTTCTGAATACTTATAGTACACATGCAGCTTTAAGCTTCATTCAAGCCCAAAAAGTACTCGTGGTTTATATTTTATTACAAACAGTTCTCAACTGAAATCCTCTGAATATTTTCCAATAGTTAAATTACTCTATCATTATCACAAGAAATATTTTTCCATTTAAATTTCTCCTAGAGTGCTTGCTACCAATGGGTAGTTTCTCAAGAAGCGTGTTTCATGTGATAATATTCCTATGTACACATTTACTTGATGTATACATAGTAATACAGTTGTAAATATCATAATAAAAGTTTTAAAAAAATTTCTCCAATATTATGGTTATCGATCGAAAAAACAATGATTCTTAGGTTTCAAATAGAGTTATTTAAACATTCCGATATGTAGTCTATGGTCATCTAAGTGGAGAATTAGTTTCTAAAAGTAATATCAATTAAATGGTAAATCGATTTATTAATTTTTTTTTTCGATATCAAGTTCTACAATTAACTTATCGCGGGCGTAGTTTTTAAAATTACGACCAATTTTAATATTAACATAAAGCTGCTTCTTTTTCTTCTTCTTTGATATTAAGATCTATTACTTTATTATTATGTTATCGGAGGCGAAGTTAATAAAATAATATCTACTCGAGAGTAAATCGATCACGTAACGATTTATTTATACTCTTAGAATTTCTTTGATATCAAGGTCTATAACAAGGTCTAGTGTGTATATTTTAATAAGCATATATATTTTTAAGAGTAATGGAATAGATATCAATTTATATAAACTTTTTTTGGGATATGAGCCTATTATTATATTAATAATAATAATAATAATACTTTATTTATTCTGGGACGAGTCCCTTTAGAATAATACAGGAAGACAGAAATGAGGGCTAAGGAGCCTCAGAGATATATAAATAAAATACAGAGTAATTGAACAGTCTTGGTTAAAAAAATAGTATATATATATAAATATACACATATACATATAAGTTGCTTTCCAATTTTGATCAGTTGATAATAAAAGAGAAAAAAAAAATAGATCAACAAAAATTGGGGAACAAATAATGAAGAACGAACTAATAACTTATGTACGTATTTTCAGTAGTATCTATTTACGATTTTATGGGGACTGGATGGATAAGAAATGATTGAACAGGCTGGATTTAAAGGTAGGAAGGGTATTAGATTGACGGATATGGGAAGGGATGGAGTTCCATAGAGATGAGGATCGGATAATGAACGATTTGTCGAAAGCAGCGGTTCGGTGGGCCCTTATGTATAAATCAGAAGACCGGGAACGAGTATTGCGGGAACGAACAGAGGATTTGAATTGAAGGAGCTCGGAGATGTATGAGGGACGGTGGGATTGGATGACTTGAAAGAGGAAGGATGCCAGGAAATACTTACGACGGTAGGAAGGATAAAGCCAATTTAACTCCGCGTAAAGATGGGAAACAGAGGCGTCCCTTGGAATCCCGAAGATGAATCGTACAAAGCAATTTATCAAACGTTTAGTTTCGCCTCGAGATCACCAGAGAGGCCCCCATATACCGTACAGCAATAGTCAAAGTGGGGAAAAATTAAGGAAGTGACTAGGAGCCTACGGGTTTCAAAAGGAAATAGGTGACGGGAGTAGTTAAGACGTTTTAGGATGGAAATGGTACGGCGAGAAATATTGGATATATGATTTTTCCAAGAAAGCGTTTGATCAATGGTTATTCCAAGATTTTTTATGGTGGGGTGAAATTTGATGGGGTTATTATGTAGGAACAGAGTTGGAATAGTAGGGACAGTTTTAAGGAGGTGATTGGAGCCTATTAAGATTGCCTTTGTCTTATCCGCATTCAACTTCAGCTTGTTTGTTCTTGCCCAGTCACAAATTCCATCTAAGTCTTCTTGAAGTTTTTCTGTGGCAGATAATAGGTCGGAGGGCGGAAAGGAAAGGTATATTTGGAAATCATCTGCATAGATGTGGTATCGGGAGTGACGGATCTGGAGGGGAAGATCATTGATGTAAATAGCAAACAGAGTAGGAGAGAGAGAGGAACCCTGAGGGACACCACAGGAGAGGGGAAGTATTACCGGAACGTAGTTCTTAAAATAATACTTATTCAAGGAGAAATCCATTACATTTCGATTTATTTATACTTTTCGGATTCCACAATACCATGATCTATCACATGATTATCTATTGTTATGATATCGGTAGTGTTTAAAAATAATTATAAATATTCTCGCTAGATACAAGAATGTCAACGTTAATGCTTTAAGGACCACTTTTATCACGACCGCCTGATTTTAAAAACCACTTTCGAAATTAAGAAAAATCTACAGCATAACTTTTTATTTATGCTTTTAATAGCAAAATCTATTATTGCACAATAATTGACATTGATACAGCATAAATCCGAAAAGTTGATTTAAATCAATAAGCAACCTATTCAGAATAAAATCGATAGTTATTAAGATTTACATTAATTTCCTTAAACATCGAGGAAAAATGCAAAACATTTTTACTAATATTGACCTGCTGAAAAATAAGTTTTATAATTTTTTAAAATATATTTTACTAAATTATTCTTCAAGTGATCTCGATTGTTTCAACTGATGTAACGTTTTCAAGTAATCTAAATCTTGAAAACAAGAAACCTCTTTGCAGTTAAATAAAGCTAATTAGAGCTAAACGCTTTATTTCTGTACCAAATCGTCCAATTTCAATGATTTTTTTTTTGGTTTATAAAAAATTCAGGAAGTTTAGAAATAATCTAAAATTATTTTGATTTTAATTATTGAATATTAATACATTCTGCCACATTGAAGCGAATAAATATTAGGGCTCCAGTAATTATTCACACAATATGTAAATAGAAATAATAACTAAAATAGAGGAAATAAAATAAATATGTATATGTTAAAAAATATGAAATAATACATATAAGCAAAATGAAATTAAATAAATAAAACACGTTCACACCTATTAACAATATTTACGTTAGCTCAGGGGACTCGTGTTCTTTCTCCCAAGTGTGGAAGCCAAAGCAGGACTCCAGGACTAAAATTATTATTTAAGAAATTGAGTACTTTTTGAATTATTCGCATAATAATTCTGCATTCAACGTAACTTTTCTTCCAGCTTCTTTTCATCGAAACATGTTGCATTCATAAATTTAAAGGGCTTCAAGGAGAAGATCTTTGGGAAGTTTTATTAAAATCAATATAGCCATTTTAGTGCTACATACATATGTACATAAAAAATAAAATCTTTCGGGCTGAAACCCCCAAAATGGGAAAATATTACCATGTTTTATGGAAAAAAATTATCTCTAAATGTATTATTGTTCGTCTAATTACATTTAATAGCACTTAAAGAATCACTTAAACACCATTTCATATAGGTACTTAGTTTCTTTCTTTCTTCCGAAGTAATTATCTTAATATATATATATAAAAAAATATTTCGGGCTCAAGCCCTCCCCCCTCCAAAATTAAATCCTTGATCCG